CGAAGTTAAATGTTTTGCGACTACTAAATTGTCAACGGACGGTTGCTTGACACGAGATTCATGTTTAAACAAAATACACAACTAAAGACCTTTTAAACAATTATAAACTAACATTATTGTTTTATAATCTAAACGTTTGTATAAATTCCACGAGTAGGTCATCCTTCGTCACGTCCAATCAGGAACAATTCAAACATTTAACTGTCATCAATGGCTACCTTTTGAAGAAAGCAACATATCTCCCTCCTTGAAAATAACGAAGCACAGTGCAGACGAACAAACGGAAAGTATTCACAGTTCTGGTATGCATACCCCTTGATTTTTATGAAATACTAAGAGACTTATCATGAAAACAATAAACAACAAATGCATGCTACTTCGGCGTTGGCGCCCTCCAATAGTTTCTATCCTACTAACGACTGCTTCGAAGTCTCTTAAAAATCTGAATGATATAGGTATAGCGACGCATAAAATATGTACCTAAAATTTAGATAACTTTATTATTCTTCAATAATTAGATTTTTTCATCTCTGCCAATCATAGCTTGTGCAGCTGTTTTAATTTGATTTTGGTGTTTTTTCCCGCATTTACAAAGGTAGGGAATATTCAAACAAAATATATTAAACTGTCATATTCTACACACTGTTTACACACCGACAGAACGCCAATCCTTAAATACTCTTCAACTCACCACAACATAGTGCGTAGCATGTAGCTGAAAGCATGTTCTGGTGAAATACAGTGAACGGGTATTCACTAAGAACACTAATCAAACTTGTTGATGGCCAGAAATGGCCACTCCAGTCCCCTTATCTTTGTCGGCAATACTTTCTGTCTTTGCTAATCAAACTCTTAAAAATCGCATCTGTCTATACTACCAGATATCACGGATGTCAGGGCCTATAGCGAGACCTAAATCAGAGCGGGACAGATGAGTCCCGTTAGCGGTCAGAGGAAAATTCATCAACGAGCATCAATATCCCCTGACCTAAAACGGCTAGAAAACGAGCTCGTGGCTCAACAGTTAGGGCGTTTGACCGCAATCGAATAGGTCGCGAATTCAAAGATCGAGTGGGGCACTATTTGGGTCTGGATATGACTGGCTGACGACGGTTAATAAGCCAGAAATGGCCATTCTAATTTCCCTTGTCTTTACCGGCAATACTATCTGTCTTTGCTAATCAAACTCTTAAAAATTGCATTTTTGGACTAAGAATTATATCAGTTCAGACACAGTTGTGGACACCTTTTTACTAATCAAGTCCTTCTTCCACAAGATTGACAAAATTAGAAAGAGCTGCAGCAAGAATGCCAATGAAGAGCTTTTGATAGCATAGTGGACAAGCAAAGCAAAGTTGCTGTAGGATAAATGTGCCACATAACCGGACAAAAAATTAAAAAAGTATTTTATTCGAATCCTTTCTTTCTCAATTAAACTAGGTTCTCTCCCCTTTCGTAGACGTTTACTAGTAAGGCACGAATTGCTATAGATGTTTGAGCTGATTCCAGAAAATTCGTTCTGCTAGCTTATGCGGGTTGGCAACGCCTGATTTATGGTGAGGTCAAACGCTACAGAAAAGGTTTTGGACTTTTGTGTTGCAATGCACTACAGATGTGAATTGAACTTACAGTTGATTCCCGAGTCACTGTTATGGAAGAGTTTGAGTTCTTTAATAGTCACCAGTTGAAATGAACTTTGCGCAAAGTTGCCTCATATCAGGATGCTTAGGATGATAGCATATTTCTATCACTTAGCATTTGCATTATCTTTCAATTAGGATTAAATGAGTGGATGTAATTTTTCTTTGTCTGAACGGTCCAATTACTAAGGATGCCATCTTTGGCATAGCGAACTTGAACTAACAGACATCTACTGTGAGCATGGCATACATAGGTATAAGGAAACCCTTGTGCTTACTGATGCGCAGACCTATGCTAACTGTTTCTCCCTTTTGGCAATACAGAAAAAAAGGTGCACAAAACTGGGACTGAAAAGTTGTGCATTTGTAAGCTTGTTGCTTCTCACCACTATTAAATACACGAGACCTACTGACAGTCCGATCATCGACTTCAAAGAGGTTCAACGTGTGCTCCACAACAGGGTGATGTAAGAGTGGTGACTTGCGTGTGGATTAGTTTCAAGTGATAGTAGACTTGCGCTGCATCTACCGCACTATCTCAAGACAGAGTCAGGAAGACCGGAGGCGGTATCATGTGCAGGTGGCTGATGTGGCGTGAGCCTGCACCTACGCGTGACACAAAGGCCCCCATGCTTGGCATTCGTCGCGGGAGCGCAACCCGAATAACGTCTGCCTTGCCCTGTTGGTCCCTTCTCCGCATTTACCATGCGGCTCGTGTAGGGGGCACATGAGACATGTTACTAGCTCCAAATAAACCATGGCAACAGACAATAAAATCAAAAACAATTTAAACTTGATGTATTACATACATGCGGCCGTTCAAAACTGCGACCTAATTATGACATTCATTCCGAAGTAAAGCAAACAGAAGAAGCCAATAAAACATTGTTCTATCGTGTGGCTTATCCTGATGCCAACAAATGAACCACCACCGCTATCACACCAAATATAAAAAACGGAAGAATGCGTTTAAGATAACACATGACAGCAGTGGCTATGATTTAAGCATAGTGGCTATGAAACTTGACAAAAGTTTAACGGTAGATTGAATGTATAATTTTCAGCAATCAGCGAAAATAATGTTTTAAAAATTAAATGGTTTAAATTACGTCTTATTAACCTCACAAAACAGATTACTATTCCCTTTTGTTATTTATTTAAGTGGCTCAAACTGTGCGGCATAACACTGGTGCATGGAAATAAAATAACAGTTTTGGTTTGGCCGTTATTACTTCTGCGGTGATCATAGCCTAAATGGACCGTACCTGTCGATGTGATTGCTTGTTCTTAGGTGGGAAACCGTATTGCAGAAAATGTGGATTTAAGGCAACCAATAGCCCAACAGCGGGTCACACGGAAGAACCGCTTGACCGGCACGGGGACTCGAAAAGCGTTTATCGATCTGAGCACCTATAGTAAATGTGTCATCTAGGGTGTCTTGGCCTACGCTTACGTCGCGTAAGACCTATGTGCCCAATCTCATCGTCAGACGGCCGACCGGCTCAGAGAGTGGACCGATGCGTCGGATAGGGAAGAGAAAGTAACTCTTAGTCTGGCGACTCCGTTCGCCCAATGCTTCGGTTCAGTTCCGCCCTATAAACAGCCCGGTGCACTTGTGTCTATCATAATGGGTTAACATTCTTTGCTTGGACAACTGCTACGTGGCTGTAAGATCAGATTGCAATGACCTCTTCTTAATGAGATCTAAAGGCACTCCGACTTTGTCTTGATTCTAGAAGTTCACTTTGTCTCTTTAAAAATATAGTCTGTCGTGTGCGGATCAGTCGTGAGTGGCAGGT